AGTTTATGGTTCACTAGGTTGTTTAGTTCAGTAGTTTAATCACTTTCTTCTCTTTTTCAACTTGACTTAAAGCTTTCTACTGCATTCCTAATGATATCTATCTTAACCCTATCGATTTGATAAAACCTTCGATATACTACAATGATATGTACAAGTTTAGGTAATTGAGAAAATACCTAAAAACTCTTGTATCAGTCACACACCTGTTATTTACGGATGACAGTCTTTTTCTGCAAGGCGACATGGGAAGAAACATATGTTCTACTAAGTATATTAAAAGAATATGAATCGGTGTCGTGCCAAATAATAAATTTTGCAAAATCGTCGGTACAATTTGGTCATACTGTGGACCCAATAACTAAGGATGAGATACATTAAACTTTAAGAATCTGTAATGTCGGAGGAATGGGGACATACTTAGGGATCCCAAAAAACTTAGGGGGCGCTAAGACAAAATTTTCAGTTTCTTGGTAGAGCGCCAACAATACGGGTCAACGGATGGATCTCGAGGCGCCTCTCCAAACGGGGGAAGGAGGTGTTGATAAAATCAAAAGAATCAGCATTGCCGACTTTTGTAATGTCCTGTTTTCAACTACCAAAGGTAATTACCCATAAACAGACTAGTACGGTTGTGAAATGCAATCACGTGAAATGTATTGGTTGTCATGGAAAAAATTGTGCAAACAAAAGGCGGACGGGGGATTAGATTTTTAAATAATAGAAGATTTCAATACTGCACTAGTAGCTAAACAATTGTGACGTCTTATGGAATACCCAGACTCTTTATTTGCACAAGTTTTCAAATGACGATTCTATCGGAGTGGGGGTCCTATGGATCTGATTCGCTTATACTCAGCATTCTACGGATGGCAGAGGATTATTTCAGCTTGATCTCTGGTAGAAAAAGGACTAATTAAAAGTGTCGGTTCAAGGGATTCTATATCAGTATGGAATGATCCATGGATACCGGATACTCACCCGAGATCAGCAACCTGCCAGGGTTATAATTTATATCCTGAGTTAAAAGTTAGAAATCTGACTGATTTTACAACCAAGACTTGGAATCTACCGCTTATTGAACAACTGATAGTTTCATAGGATATTATATTCATCACTGGAATTCCCACAAGTAGGGTCTTAAGACCAGATCATTTCGTTTACAAGTGTAAGACAATCAAATTATTACCTCTTTCTCCTGCTCTGCCTCCTTATCTGCTTCCTCTTGAAGGCCTGTCTCCACCTCATCTTCTTCTCCCTTATCAGCTTCCTTATCCGCCTCATCTTCTCCTCCCATATCAGCTTCCTTATCCGCCTCCTCTTCTCCTCCATTTTCTGCTTCCTTCTCCACCTCCTCTTCTCCTTCATTCTCTGTGTTCACAGGTGCTTTATGCTCCTCCTCTTCTCCTTCCTTCTCCTTCAAAACAGTGGTTTCCTCAACCACCACTGTCTCTGCAGTCTCACCGCCATCTTTGTCCTTCTCACCCAAACCCTACAATCCAATATAGCAGTGTTACCAAGTCTGAACTTTCAGTTTTAAAAACCAACTTACTATAATCAAATCGCATTACATACCTCTTCGTTCACCATTCCATCATCATCATCCACAATATGAGGATTGTAATCATCTTCCTCATACAACATTTGAACATCTAATTGCACTTTCACATAACCTTCCACGGCTACAACTCTTGTGTCCAAGCCAGCAAACTAGTCGTTCATTTCCTTAAACCCTTTCTCCATTTCAGTCTTTAGGTTTTGGACGAGTGCTACCAAATCAGTCGAATCAGCATTCGACGGTGCCTCAGTTTCAGCACTTTCCACCTCGTTCAGAGGTTCCTCTTCTGCTCGAGCAGCCATATCTCTTTCGTACATCTCTTGAAAACAAATCGTCTTCTCTTCATCGAGAAGACGCTTCAGCCAACCACGAACAACAACATCATCCACATCATCATCATTATCTTCTTCCGTGAGCCGAGCCACTAATGCTTCTTTCTCAACATACGGGACTAAGATCCTTTCAATGTCCTTTAAATAGAAGCAAGAGAAATATTTTGAAAACATTACAATCATAAATAATTGATACACCAATTTAGAACATGGTAATAAAAAAGAATAACTGAGCTTAGTTGTACCAAGTGCTTCACTTATTTCTTCGAGAGAAAATTATTTCATCGCACTTCATTTAAACTTTATCTTACACATTCTAGGACACGTCTTGCTAGCATTTGGACAATCTTCTCGGAATTTCTTCTGGAGTTCTGGAATCGCCTTGCAAGAAGCTACACATGAAACATAAAATTACAGTTACCTTCAAATAGTAGAACTAGTAATACTAACAAATAACTCTAATCAGATTTACCTCCAAAGGAATACAGAAAGTACAAAATGGCCACTGTGAACCTTGAACGACCCCTTTAAAATGATCCATGGTGTGAGAAATATCTTGCATATTATAATCAAACGACAATCTCCCCCAAAGAAATGTCTTACACAAATTAAGATCATTCACAGCTCTTAGAAAGAATGACTCCACGGAAGGAGCATCTTCTCCTGTCTTCGACTGCCCTATAATTATACTTGATAAAAAGTATAGGATAGCCATCTTCAACATGTCTATTGAATATCTTATTACCAAGAGCTTCTCTTTCACATCCGCATATCTTACTCTTGATCCCACCTTAAAGTGCCTCTTCACGAAATCCATACTGCCCGATCGCTCATAGTTGGGTGGATAGCTATGATGGTTTAATCCAGATATTAGGGCATGTTCATGTATGCCATATCGGAGTGGAACGCCATTTACAACAAACCAAGCTTCCTTTTTCTTATCAGTACACGCTGTTCGCAGAAGGAGCATCCACATTCCCATCACTTTATGGTTTTGATCACTATGCATGTGGAAAATATGCTTGAACTGGGGATGATGGATAAACCAACTCCTCTCCTCTGGTCTAAGCGGATTCTTTAACCCGTTTAGAAGTGTTTCTACTGCTTGCGATATGAAACACCTTGTAGAGATCTTGATTTTTTTCGTGTACTATGTCGGCTTGAAGTACATCTGCAGTGGTTGCATTAATTCGGAACCCTGTAACACATAGTTGTACCAAATGTTACCTTTTCGTTTCAGAATTTTATTGCACAACTAACAATCTAGTGTTACTAAGTAATATTAAACCCCTAGACTATTACACAACAAAATCGACAACGAAATCAACAATCAAACACCAAATCGACAAGGATCACTCAATCGACAACAAACCCAAAAGTAAAATATAAAATCAAACACAAATTCGATAACAAACTCCTAAAACATACTCGATTTTGACAACACAAAACCCGAAGCCAAAAATATGCAAGGACGGTTATCCACATACCGTTGAATCCGAATCTGTGTCTGTTTGGCTACTTCTGTTGTCTTCGCCGGAAGTCGTACCGTCTGGGGTTTGGTCCTCATAAACAATCTGAGAATTTCCTCCTTCTTCATATAGATCTTCTTCTCCCAATCCAATATTCGGATTCTTACTACCCACCATGATCGTCTGCCTACATCCACAATCCCAAAAATTGATTATAATCATGTCGAATCAAAACATATACATCTGATTACCTTTCCTGATTTCACATGAGTATGGGATTATTTGCTCTGAACTCGAATTAGTATTCCTAACTTTTTCTCCGTCTCGCGGGAACTGAACGGTCGTTCGGTTTCAAAAAGATTTCGATGGATTTTACTGAGAATGGTTTGATCTTCTTTTGAGATTTGGAGTATATAAAATATTTTTAGAGAAGATACCCATTCGTTAAGATCCGAGATCCGAGAGATAATGGGTCTTGATCCGAAATACTAAGTCGAGTAGGTTTAGAGGAAATAATTGTTTTAAGTTGTTAGGACCAAAATAGACATCAACCGATTTTATCCTATTAAAATTAAATGGAAAAGAAATTTCAAACATAACAAAAGCAAATCAGATCATTTCTGAGTTGACGAGGATATCTCAACCATTGATCCAAGTTTTCGTGTCTTTACTCTTTGACTTAGTCAACGTGAACAACTTTCCTTTTTCTTATTTGATATATCAATTAATGAAGGATTTACACCAAATGATATAACGGCAAATAATTCAACTTTAAATATTTCCTTTTTTTGCTTCGTTTAGGATTTCTAACGTTAAGCCGCACACACAAATCTATCTAACGTTGCGTGTTGGATGGGATCATGTTCCCACGTGACTTATATTTAACAGAAATTTTGAAGTATCGTGATTTAGATTATCCATTTGGATCATAAGGTATCCGAATTATTTTAGAAGTTAAATACATTTAGAAGCATCATATAAAACCAGAATTATTCAGATCTCTCTATATGCACACCCAAATGTGTATATGTATTTTTACATATATAGCTAAAGAATGCACGGTTAATATTTTGATAATATTCTGATGCATGAAATTATTCTATGCAAAAGTTATGAAACTATTGAATTTCTGTTTTCACGATAAAAACAAAGAATATTGAAAACCGAGGTTTGGTTAGATGATTCAAACCGTATCCGATGAATTTATGCAGCTTTGTCTCTTGAATATGAATGTATTGTTCAATCTTGTTTTCTTCTGATTTGAATTAGCATCGAATGAGATTCTTTTGATTTGGTATTATTTATTAATCTGTGTGTTCCACAGTTCCTGGTTGGTTCAGTTAGGATTAATATAAATGGTTTACTAATGACTTTATACTAAATCACCAAATGAGAGTATATGCCATATTAAAAAAAAAGAAGTCAAAAATTTAAATTTGCTTATTTTGTCTGTTTCATGATTTAGGATGTGATTTTGTTTTTTTTCTTTTGGTCTAACACTTAATTAGGATGTGATTTTGTTTTTTTTCTTTTGGTTTAGGATGTGATTATACTTCGTAAAACTTTTGAGAATTTAACTTTAAAATTTAGAGTACTCTTGACTTATTATATTACACATTGAAAGTGGGATCACGGGACTTATTCTCATTCACTCTAGAAACATATTAAAAAGAAGCACATGCTTAGGCTTGTTACTTACTTATTACACATGAGCTTATTACAGACTTAGGCTGTTTCTGTGTTCATCAAAACAAAATTATTACAGTCGTTAGATTTTATTCTGTATTTATACTTTATATAACATATATAAACAGATTGAATGAATCGAATTCTAATTAACCTGTCGACCATGGTGACCTACTGTGTTGGAAACAGAAAGGAAACTGATCAATTTCAAAAGAAGACATCATCTTACTTTTATCTGCATCCATCTTCCATATAGAATCCAACGAGCTTTCCCATGACGGAGAAGCAATAGTTGGGTAGCTTAAGCAATGGCTTTGCTCTGAGTATATGTCTTTAACCGGATTAATTATGTTAACCGCAGAGTGATCAATCTCTCTCCATATGTCATCCAACGAGTATCCGTCGTCTCCCGTTTCTTGATTCTTCGCCTCGTTCGAGGATCCTCCAGTGTCGTAAAAGCTCACCTTCCCTGAAGTTTTCCTCGACTGAAACGACACATCTTGAGTATTGGTAGTGGTCATAGACGAAGAGCAGCAGTTTGAAAAAGACGAAGTTGGAGAAACAGGACGCTTCTTTTCTTGAGCCTTCTTCCTCGTGTGAGTCCTCCAGTAATTCTTTATCTCGTTATCTGTTCGTCCCGGCAATTTCCGGGCAATTTTTGACCACCTGAAAGTAGTGATGCAAGATGAAATGTTTTGTTAAGTAGAAAGATATGATTCTTGTAAACCACGTTTTGTTTTGTTTTGTTTCTCGGACCTGTTTCCCCATTTAGCGTGAAGCTCAAGGACAAGACGCTCCTCTTGTGGCGTCATCTTGCCACGTTTGAGACCAGGATGAAGGTAGTTAACCCACCTTAGCCTGCAACTCTTTCCTGTTCTGTTCAAACCTACAACCAAAACTAGCTAATTAATGGAGGCTCCTTACCTATTCTTATCTTTCTCCCTCCACCTTCAAACCTGATACTTTTGCTATAAAATCCCATCGTCGATCTCCAAATAAGTGAACAAAATTTACCAGAAGTATGTCTTCTTGTTCTGTCCATGGACCCTTTCGGCTTTCCTCTTGCATCACTTCTTTCATCTCTCTCTCTCTCTCTCTGTCTCTCTTTTATCTTTATCTCTCTTGTTACTAAAAAGTTATTTCTCAGCTTGGTTCACCATGGCATCCTCTGTCCACTATATATATATATATATATATATATATATATATATATATATATACATTTTTTCAACACTGTGGTGTGTCCACGCGATATTCACACTCACAATATTAAAACTCTAATGATTTTCTTTATTTCCTCCAATCTTTAACATCCATATGTTTGAGGGATTATCCTATTTGATAATGTAGGGACTCTTTATTGTGATGTCACAGGGCCAATATATTAAAAAAAACTTGATCGTCAAGAGAGTGATTGGTGTTACTGATGTAACACTCCCATTAACTCTGCCTTTACATCTTTTGTGCCTGTGAGTGTGTGATAATAAGAACTCTTTCTTATATTTTTTGGCAGGCACTATCTCTAATGTGGATATCAATAGCATCAGAAAAATCTCTTAAATCAAAAGATTCAAAACCAAAGATAAGATGGTACGTTTTTCTAGTCTTCCTATTATTTTAGACCAGAAAAACTCAATATATTTTTTCTAGGGTGTTACAAAATTTGAAAGAAATACAGAGAGACCCTAGATCTTTCTTGTCCTTTTCGTAGGGGGTATGAGAGTATTTTGTCTCTTGACTTTATTAAGGGCTGTATTGGTAGCAACTGTTGAATCTTATTAAAGGAAAAGAGGAAAAGGAAACTGACAAAAGCTTGGACAGTGTTAGAAATATAAATAGTTGAAATGTTATGATGATAAGTGAGTTTTTGTATCTAGTATATTATTCTAATGCCTTGAGCCTGTATGTATCTGCTTCTCTTTTAATGGCATAGTGTTCTGAAGAGACTCTTTAAACTTGTTCATTCACTGGATACTATGGAAAATGACTCATTGTAATCTGAAAGAAGGATCTGCGTTTAGTCTCGAAGTGAAGTATTATACTTTGAAACTATGATAATTTAGTTCCTACACTTTTTTATTTCTCCAAGATATTTCGGGCCTTTGGTTGATTTACATATGGGGTAAACAAACATGTAATCAAAGAGGTGATTGATGTACTGACGTAACACACCCATTAGTTTATGTCTTTATTTTTTTTGGTGGGTGTGTGTGGTAATAAGAACTCTTTCTTATATGCAAGTGCACTATCTCGTATGTCAATGTCAATAGTTCAATCCAAAAACAAAACAAAAAAGTATGTTTTGCTATATATTCTCCTGTCATTTAAGCCAGAGAAAAAGTGCAATTTGAAAGGAATCTAAAGAGGCCATAGATTGTGAGGATATGAGAGCAGTGTCTCCTTTGACTTGTTCTAGTATATATTTCTACTATTGAAACTTATAAAAGGTAAAACAGAGAATATAAGGGAAAGAAAATATGAATAGCTTTAAAAAAAAATTGAAAATTTTAGATTTCACTGTTATTGATTTATAAACTATGAGACATTCTTAGTAAAAAATCCGCTAGTATGAATTTTTTTTTTAATACTGTTGCTATTCAAAATCTTTTATTAAGTTTTAACAAACTCCTATCTACATCCAGTTCTCACCTAAGCCAAAAAAAAAAAAAAAATCGAATTGTAATGGGAGTCTACTTGAGTTTTGGTAACTAGTCGAAGAATTTGAGATTGGTCTAAAATTATGGCTTGTGACTTTGGCCTACGGGTTGATAATGATTCTGTAATTTTTTTTTATAATGATAATGATTCTGTAATTGAGCTAGATCTAAAGCTCCTGTTATTTTGTTTAGATGCAGGGGAATGGAAACAGAGATGGTTCTTGTAAGAATTAAATTATTTGGTTGTTATCAGTACTTATCACCTTGAATTCTTGAACTATTGTTTTTAGTTGGAAATTTTGTTCTTTCGTTTTCTTTCTTCTTGTTTGTTATCCGGAAGTTAGTGACAACTACTGATAGAGAGACACTTTATAGAAGAAGTAACTATATCATACTTTTAATTAGTAAACATTTTCAGTTTTCATATTTAAAATTAAATAAATGTAAGCGATATATAGACAACAGTAAATGTAAACACAAATGTCTGATAAATAAGTATTTTCCGTAATCAATCCTATGCACGATTCTGCTTTTTTTATTTTATAATGCTAGACTAGTTTGGAGCTCTTGGAAGATTATCACTATGCGTGTTGCTTTGGGATTTCTAATTTTCTATAATGTCTTGTGATTAATAATTTTCACAAAAGAAAATCTACACAACAACATGCATCACACATTCACACTCTTGAAAGCTACTGCATTTGGGGTGAGGCATGATTATTAGTTGGATTTGACCACTTAATGAAAGTGGTAATTATACCAATACAATTGGAAGAATATAATTAGCAGATGATTGATAAAAATATATTTAAAATAATTGTTAGTTGGGTCTTGTCATCTTGTCTAACTACATCTTATATGATTTAGAGACCTCATGGAATTTTACTTGTGTAAATGCGCATGATTATAAAACTACAAAAAAGGAGCGATAAAAAGAAAACATAACGAACGGAGAGAATTGGAGATTGGTCACTTAGTGGAGCCAAAAAAATTTGAGTTTGAGGGACGTGGACGTCACGAACATACTCCTCTGTGGCCTACCTCCACTTATCCTTCTCCTTGTCTCGTGACTCCCACACGCAACGCAGGTCCCTCTTCTCTGATTTGATTCATTTTTTTTTAATTTCTAGTGAAATTGGTCCGGACCAGCCTGCCAATGATCCGAAATAAGACTGCAAAAAACTACACAAGAAAAGAATCAGTCGATGTTAAAAAAACATATTATTCATTTTGGTAGAATTCATCATTTTACATATCTAGTTGTGAAATCATTTTTCCTTCTTTTGCTCCCAAATATTATATAAACCCTCTTTTGTGAGAATATGTGATGTGTCTCTCGAGTCTTGACTTATTTCAAGTTCTTTAATTTCTATTGTTGCAATCATTTTCTTTTGATCTCATATATGGCTTATAAGCGGATTACTTCTTAAAGATACTTGTCCATACGTACATGTAGAATCATTAAACATTCTTGCGCGGCATGTGTCTAGTGTCTTGCGTTGCATGTATCTTCAGTCTTCATGTATCGTGTACCATCATTACACACGTGACGTATGCATGCATATGTAAGCATATACATAGGTGTGGCCTTGTAATATTATTATATATGGGTGTATATGTAATGGTAATGTTTATTTTGGGATTTATCTACCGCAGTTACGGAAAAAGAGAAAAGAAGTCGTAGTTGTTAACGAGGACGACGATCGATGGCGATGCGGTGGATATTCTTATATGAACTTAAGCACGTCCTAAAGGTATAATAAAACCCAAATCTACATCAAATCTTACGTATGCAATGATATGTGATCCCCCCATATGGAATAATACTATTAATAAGATTACATTATTTGTAGTCATTATAATATAACAAAAGCAAAAGATTACTTAATAATATCCGTCTATTTAAGTTAGATAAGCAAGTATATTATGTATTTGTTAAGTAGCGAATTCCCTTTATCTAACGTGTTCATCCCAGAGTTAGAGGATTTGTAGTTTTAGATCCATAGTCTATGGAAAACGGAAACGGTGCCTTTTAGAAATTTGAACTTCATATTTCGTGCAAAAGAGTGAACTCTTGTCTTAAGCAAGAGAAAATTGATGGGATCTAATTTGGGTCTCTGACATTTGAATTATCCCTCTCTTGAAATTTAGACAAAATAGGCTGCAAATCTGCAATTTTCACTTTTGCTTGTTGTACAACAATATTTTATGGATTAACATTATTTTACACTAGTTATTATTCCATTTTGCTCACTAATTATTATTCCATTTAGAAACAAAAAAAGAAAGGTGTTGTCCAATTAAGCAATCACTAGCTTTTTGCCATCGGGTGGAGATAAGGATTTCATCAGCCATAATCTACAGCCGCGTACATGCATAAAAGTAAACATATAAATTCACGACAAGTCCTTTTCTTAATAACTTTTATTATCTATTCGAACAAGTATGCAACTTTTGATATTTAATTACTACAAAATGCAACTTTACTCACATGGGCAACGTTCATTTATAAATGCATATGTGTATAGTCATTTTTGTTACCATATCCTACGCAGATTCTGATCGATGACTGTGTCGGTGCGAGTTCACTAAGAGCTCCAATTGGTTCTCTAAGAATATATGATTGCAATTATGTATATACATATATATGTGTATATTTGTGATCATTCACAAAACATGTTTTAAGTTCTTAAGAATGTTTATCCATATCAAATCAGTTACTGATATGCTTGTTTCTTTTTTTTCTTTTTTTTCTTTTTTAACGTCTATTTTCATTAATTAATTCTGTACTGAATTACAATGGTCGAAATGTAACGCATTAGCAATAAACAATGGAACATAGTAATGATAATGAAAGGAAGAGTTATTTGGAATTCTTGTCTTTGCAAGAGCATCTGCTGGTTGATTTGCTTCTCTATTCACCCAATGGAATTGGATTGCTTCAAACTTTATCTTCCAATCGTTAGCTTCTCGTATCCAGTTGTGTAAACCAAAGTTTAATGTCAAACCGTTCATAATCGCCATTAATTCTTTATTGTCTCCTTCCATAATGATTTTGCGATAACCCTGGGACCAAGCATTTTGCATAGCCATTATCATGTTCTGACATTCGCTCTGAATCACTGTTGTAGCTTGTTGGTTTGAAGCCTGTCCTGCTCCTTTGTAAACACCGTTATTATCCCTGAAAATCCATCCTGCTTGCGCTTGTTGATTATTTAGAGATCCATCAAAGTTGCATTTAATCCATTCTGCAGGGGGTTTAGTCCATTTAGACTGACAGGTATTTGTCTCTTGCATAGATGAAAAGCCGCCCGTAAAGCCTGTATCCTCTGTTATTTGTTTGACACTATACTTCCACTATATTGCATATGTTCTAGTGAGAGTGAGATTCCTCCCCCAAGGTATATGTTTCCTTTGATAAAGAAGAAGCTGCTTACATCGCACTTCACGAATGACTGGGAGGAAATTATTGAGCTTCTGGTGGATGATACTCGGGAACAGCTGCAACAATTCTTTCTGCGGTACATTTTTCAGGCTGCAATTCATTCCATATGGCGGGAACGAAATCGACGTAGGCACGGAGAAACTCCTTTTCTGCCATCTCAGTTAGCTCACCAAATTGATAAGCAAATACGAGACAGGCTAACAACGATACTGACT